GAAGTGATTTTATGTGGCTGACCGCTAATGTTTTTTACTGAGATTATTTCCTGCCCCATGTCGCATACCGGACTTCTTCAATTTGGACAGCAGAAAAAATGAAGTCCAAATGTTGCTATTTTGGGTGCTACGATTGCAACGTATCTACAATAATAGACCATCAGCAGTCACTCACTGATATCATTGACAATCACTGAATGTCGTTGAGCAGAATTAAGTGATTAATCCAATATGAGGTGTTTTGAAACAAAATGCTTGAATTGTGCGTGGAATATAGACAGGGTATCTGCCACCCTGAACATAGTCGACCCCCGGTAGGTCACCCACAGTTTAGGAGAACTAAGCAAAAATGTAATCACAACGGTCGAAAGCAGGACGACTCGAGGCGTCAAAATCATAACTATCGGGTTGGAGCATAGTATATCGTAACGTTTTTTTTGACCGTTTGAATAAAATCAATAAAAGTGTCACCCAGAAATCGCTTACATCATTTGAAAGCTTTTTTTTTCAGTAATACGGTATCCGCCGTTCTCCTCAAAATTATAACTGTAATCAGATATGGTGCATAGAAATTGGAACAACCAGACGGCAAGAATTGGCATTTCAACAGCTGCTATTCTTCGGTTTGCGTAAAAAACAATAGAACGTCAAAAAGAACTTTTTAGATTTCATTGTTCCTATCAAACCTCCCTTCAACTGATCCTACCTTCAACGCGTGAATTGCGGCCATATCTATGTCGTACAAATTGATAACAATGAGCACTTCAAAAACGAGCTCATTATCTTTTTTTTTTAATTCTGAATCCGGTAATTTCCTGTGAAATGCAACCAAAATCGTAAATAATGACAGATTGACATCATAATATATATAGGGGTGGCCAAAAAAAAAAAGAGACGCTTTGCCCATGCCACACATCACCAGATGTTTCTTCCCCCAGGGTGCCGTTGCCGATGGTAATTTTGCGGCATAATATTCCTTAGATGTCTTTCCATAAGCAGAAGCAGTTCCTCCTTTGCTGCCCTCACCGTCTTTGAAATATGACGGCATCTGTCGTCGCCGTCGAACTC